TACACAGCAGAAGGAAAAACCCAATTCCCATAAGTTGTCCTCTGATCTCCTCGTGGGCACTTCTCTTTAACATACACAATGAATAAGATATAAAAAACAAAACTAAGATTTCAAGACTAGCCTCAGTTATATAGCATATTTATGGGCTACATGCAACCCTGTCTCAAAACAACATGAACAACAAAAGGGAAATCCCAAATACTAAATTGAACTAAATAGCAAATTTATTTTGATCATTTCATGAACCAAAAAAACTCAACATGAGTAGTCACCAGAAAAACAAATCAAGACCACACTGCAAAATTATAACATATGCTAATATTACTAAAAATGAGAAAAAAGAATGCTGAGTGTTGTCGAAGATGAAAGATGACTTGAATTCTCAGATATTGTGGAATGTGCATATAAAATTGGGGAAACCTTAGAAAAGCTATTTGGCAATTTCTCTTAAATTTCATGCATACACTTGTCCTAGCTTAGTTCAGAATAGATGTATGTTTAACTTTATACCTTCACATACTTCATTTCTGATCAAATAAAAACAGGTATGAAAGCAAAATAGCACATAAATCTGTATGAAGATGTTGTTAGTGTCTTTAATTCATAGTAGCCTAAAAAGCTAGAAGCATTCCAATGGCCATCAGCAAAAGACTAGATGAATAGATTTTGGTGGGTATATGCTGTGAAATATCTCTAGTGATGAAAAGTAATGAACTAAGCTAGTGAGATGGCTTCATTATTAATATGTTTGCCATTTAATGTGGTAACTGGGATTTGGAATCCCCAACCCCAGTAAATGCTAGTTGTGCATGGCTGCTTGCCTACAAGTGCAACGTTAAGAAGGGGGAGACAGGGAAACCCTAGAATAGCTTGCCAACTCAACGAGTAATATCAGAGAGTTCTAGTTTCAACTGAAGGAACCTACCCAAAAGTGAATAACCATTGCAGCTGATTCCCTGAGTCAGCCTTAGGCCTCCACACATGCACACATGTGGGTACACATATACACACACATGAGAGAGAGACAAAAGGACATAAAAGAATTACTTATTCATATAGCAACATAAAGGGATCTCAGAAGCAGTTGGCTGACCAAAGAAACCAGATACACAAAGGCTGTCTAGTCTTCTGCTTACACACAATCTAAGAACAGTAAAAACTGACTTATGCGGATAAAAATAAAAAAAGAATCACATAAAACGGTAGGAGAATGTATTAGAAAGTGGCATAAGAAACTTCTTGGAAGTAGATTATGGAAATAGTCTACATCTTGAGTTGGATTATAGTTACATGAGAATATGCTATGGAAATAGTCTACATCTTGAGTTGGATTATAGTTACATGAGAATATGCTATGGAAATAGTCTACATCTTGAGTTGGATTATAGTTACATGAGAATATGCTATGGAAATAGTCTACATCTTGAGTTGGATTATAGTTACATGAGAATATGCAATTCTTAAGATTCATCCAACTGTCCACCTAAACTGTACCTCAATAAAAACTGGCTTTTGACTTTTAAAAACAGGAAAAAAATAACACATATACTTGTGATTAAGCAGACTTACTTTGTTTTCTGACTCTAAGAAACTGAGAAACATACCAGGGAAATCTAGTATTAATATGATAGGATCTTTTGATATTAGTATTGTAGATATGATGATGGACTATTATTATGTTTTTAAGGACTCACTGAAATACAGATGAACTGATGCAACATTTCAGATTTACAGCAAATAAAGCTACTGGGGAAGGGGGTTGGTTAAATTTGGCTACGAGTAGATAATTACTAAAATATAGTGGTGAGTACATCAAGGTTCAGTGAACTCTCCTCCCTATCTTAATGTTTGTTTGAAGTTTTTCCATAACAATAGAAAATGAAATCTATAAAGATAATTCTGTGTATACTAAGTTCCAGTTCTGTGAAGCTTTACAAGCATCTGCTGTTCAGAAGGTACTGTGTCTTCTCTCCTGGGTACAACAGGTACTGTGGCTACTCTCCCAGGTACAGCAGACAATTGATATTCTAATCATCCAAATGCAATCCCTCTGGCTTTGATTACCTAGAAAATGGCTCCAGAACTCTCCAGACTGAGAGGACAAAATCCTTGATTTCATCAGAGATCAATGTCCATGCTCAGATTATTCCTAGAACACACTTCAAAATCCAGATACTTTTAATTACATGTAAATCAATAGCTGAGAAAGAGAAGGGGAGAAGAGGAGATGAGAGGAGGATATGAGAAACCAGGAAGATTGAGTCGGGGAAGAATAGAGGAGAGCAAGAAAAGAGATACCTTAATAGAGGGAGCCATTATAGGTTTAAAGAGAAATCTGGCAGTAGGGTAATGTCCAGAGATCTACAAGGATGACCCCAACTAAGAATCTAAGCAATAGGCTACCTTCTATGCCCTTCCCTCAAAATGAGATTGATGACTACCCTATATGCCATCCTAGAGCCTTCTTCCAGCAGCTGATGAAAGAAGAAGCAGAGATCCACAGCTAAGCGCTAAGCCAAATCCCTGGAATCCAGTTGTAGAGAGGGAGGAGTGATGAGCAAAGGGGTCAAGACCAGTCTGGGGAAACCCACAGAAACAGCTGACCTGAGCAAGGGGGCGCTAGACTAACAGACTAACAGCTAGGAAACCAGCATAGGACCAAACCAGGTTCCCAGAACATGGGTGTCATTTAAGAGGCCTGGACAGTCTATGGGGCCTCTGGTAGTGAAACAGTATTTATCCCTAGTGTACAAATGGACTTTGGGAGCCATTTCACATAGAGGGTTACTCTCTCAGCCTAGGCCCTGCCCCAAATGATGTGACAGACTTTGATGATTTCCCTTGGAAGGCTTCACCCCTCCCTCGGGAGCAGAAGAGACATGGGATGGGGGTTGGTGAGGGGAATGGGAGAATGGGAGGGAGAGGGAACTGGGATTGATATGTAAAATAAGATTGTTTCTAATTTAAATAAAAACTCAGTTCTTAAGATATGAAATAACCTGTTCCTGATGTTGGTGATGCTGACATGGATCATGCCTGACATGCAGGCATGAAGAGGACATTATATGATGGAGTTCTTCTTTGTAATGATGCTGTCATATTTCACATACTAGGGTAACAGTTACTACCACACCTGTCATAAAATCAGGAGAATGGAGTATGGAGTTAGTAGGCTTACCCTATATTATACTTATTTCAAGCCAGCCACACCCCTTTTATCTATAATAGTCCTGGCTGCAATTGGTGGCACAGAACTTGTGGAACTAGCTAACCAATGCCTGGTTTGACTTAAGAACCACTCTATGAGACTGATGATACATGACACTGCTGGGGTCCAGGAACCCAACTCTTAAAAAAAAAGAGTACCGATAAAGTGACCCCTAATGACACTGTGCTATCCTGTAGCTGATGGGAACAAATATAGAGACCTACAGCTTGACATTATGCAGAGAGTGAGAGACCTTGGATCACTCAGCCCTAAATGGGCAGTCTCCATCGAATCTGTCCTCCTGGGGACCAAGGAATCCCCTCAGAAGAGAACAGAAAGAATATGAGAGCCAGAGTGATCAAGGACACCAGGAGAACAAAGCCCTCCGAATCAGCATGGGCAAGGCTTATATGAACTCACAAAGGCTGGGGCAGCATGTACAGGGCCTACACAGGTCTGCACCAGGTCCTCTGTATATATATTATGCTTCCAGCTTAGTGTTTTTGTGGGATTCCTGAGAGTGTGAATGAGTGGGTCTCTGATTCTTCTGCCTTCTCTTGGGCTCTTTTTCTCCTGTTTGTTTGTCTTGTCCAGCTTCTATATGATAGTTTTTGTTTTATCTTATAATATTTTATTTTGTGTCTTTTGTTTTGTTTTTTGTTTAGTTGGTTAGAGGTTGGTTTTTCAAGACAGGGCTTCGCTGTGTGTAGCCCTGGCTGTTCTGGAACTCACTCTGTAGACCAGGCTGACCTCAAACTCAGATTAATCTGCCTCTGCCTCTGCCTCTCTAGTGCTGGGATTAAAGGCATGCACCAACACTGCCTGGCATTTTGTTATATTTTGTTACTATCTCTTATAAGCCTGTTAGTTTTCTAATGATGGATATAAAGGGTGTGGGCTGAATGAGAGGAGAAAAAGGAAGGAACTGAGAGGGTTGAATGGAGGGAAATGTAATCAGGATATACTTTGTGGGAAAAGAATCTATTTTCAATAAAAGGGGGGAAAACACATCCAGGTTGCCTAGAGTCAGGGAAAGATTAATTCTAAGGAGGCATGAGAGAAAACATTGATGTGATGTCTTAATTGTGATATTGGTTACATGAGTTAACATATGTCCACTTTCATTGAACTTGGCATTGGAGCCAACACATCTGATTATATGAAAATTAATCCCCAATAAAGTATAATTAAAATTAAAAAAATAATAAAGTAGGTTTTCATATGAAAAGCAAAGAACAATTGAACAAGCCACGGACAGCAAGCCAGGAAGCAGCATCCCTCCATAGCCTCTGCTTCACTTCCTGCCTACAGGTTCCTGCCTTGACTTCCCTTCATAATGAACTGTAAGCTATAAGCCAAAACAAATCCATTCCTCCCCAAGTTGCTATTGGTCATGGTGCTTATGGAATCAATAGAAAGCAAATTAATACAGGGATTAGTCAAAAAGGAGGGAGTACAGTCATTAAGCCTACAGTGGAGAGGGGCACAGGTTGTGAAGAAACTAAGAATGGCTGGTGAGTAGTATACAACACAGAAGCAACCACTCCTACTCCATGCCATCCCCAGTAAGGTCTAGGTCTGTCCTTTAAGCCTACAGATAGATGTTTTCAAACCATCCAATAGAAACACCAAAGAAGCTAGTACAGACACTAAGCCTACCCCACCACCCCCATAAAACCCATAAGGACTACTAGAAGTCCTTTTCCATCTGTCTATCTCCCCAAGGACAGAATAGCACTTAGCAAAACTGAACCCAACACTGTGAGCTCCTTGATTGACATTTTAAATGTACCTTGATTCAAAGCCAGAGCAGGGGCATAAATAACAATTCCGGTATACAGAATCTAGTGGGGAGAGAAGAAAAATAATGAGTAATATGAAGTATGAAATTAATGAGTTACATATGACAATTATAAAATCAAATATGAATTGATATTTTTAAATATATTTAATGTCTAATTATAACTTGGGAGTATTTAAATAAAATTGATTTTTTTATTTTCTGTCTGCAGTGTTGCTAAACATCACAAAAAATCTCTTATGAAGATCTTTTGTAAAAGTGTGTAATTAAAAAAATAGGTTCATTGATCCACCACCTTTAGCTTAAATTCAATTTTCATAGATTTAAAATACTTAACTACAAAGAAGGAATATTAGGTTGGCCTCTTAATATATGCCTTCAAATATTGCTAATCACCATTTTCTTATCTATGTTGGGGATGGAATCCAGTGCCTTACACAGACATAAGAAACAGTCTAAAGCAAAGCAACAAACCAACCATTCAAATGATTGCTTTCAAAGTAAAATTTTTGAAAACTGGGTTTTAAAATAATTAAGATAAAAGTGTAAACGTACACTAAAAATTATGAAACCTTTCAAATATTATAGTCCATTATTTTATATAATCACTTTTCACTCATATATTCAACAAATATTTATTGACCTTGAGTACAATAGTTAAGAAAAATTATCTGCTCCTCAAAATATTTTATTGCATCCACCCTTCAAATACATTCTATAGCAGTTAACTCGAAGTAACATTATAAAAACATTATTTGCGAATTGAATGCTTAATTATCCTACATAGAAGCAAATCCTTCAAAAAGGATGTGCTAAAGTCCCCTTGTTTTGAAAAGAAATGAGCTAGTTTCCCTAGTCAATAGTCTGTCTGTGTTGAAGATTTGAAATGTGATGGGCATTCTTCCTAACAATTGTTCCCACTTCTTGTTCATGTACACATTTTTAACTCAAACATAGAGGGTTCTCAACCTTCCTAATGCTGTGACCCTTTAATACAGTTCCTCATGTTGTGGTGATTCCTAACCATAAAATTATTTTCATTGCTACTTCATAACTGTGATTTGCTAATTATGAATCCTAATGTACATTTCTGATATGCAGGATATCTGATATGTGATCCCACACACAGGTTGAGAACCACTGTCTAGACATACAAGCAAGTTGCCTTAGAGTATCAGAATCTCCACCAGACCCCAAAGTTACCTGTCTTTCATACCGAGAATACTAAGACCTGATAAAATGTACAAAGATATAAAATAAAACCAAGTTAAACAGAGGGAAAAGGCACCCTGTCTCACATCTCTCTGGAGCAGATGCTCAAGCAGCTTTTGAGTGGAGAAATGCACATTGTCAACCTTCCTTACCAAATCTGAACCTAAAAGCTCAGTGTGGAGGGAGAGAGATATAAACCATGTGATAATGATCATGAAAACCCTCCAGCAGCCTTTTACAGAAGCATCAGTGCAGTGATGCTTATCTGTACCAGCCACTTGGTAAACCTTTGCTTTCCATTCATGCTCATCAATATGTCCACATTTGCATGTTCTTGAATGACTGCATTGTGGATGTGTCTTCAAAATATCTTCTAGAGCTCAGGATTCTCCTATGCTAACTATACTGCTCCAATTGAGTCTAAGAGCTCAATTTTAAAGAATGCCAATTCATTTTTAAGATACATTTTTACACAAAATTGTTCCCTAAGGTCTTCCTGTCAGATTATATAGAGATATATATTAAATATAGATATATATCCCTCAAATACTTCTGTCTTTTAAATCATGCACTCATTGTCATTTTGGTCCAGGGTGAGGAAGGTAAGAAAGGGTAGTTTCCTAAAGCTCCATAACCATTCCTTGACCAATACAGTATTTAAATTCACTTAAACCATTGTTTTTCCAGGAAGTAACGTCTTCACGGTCTAGGGATCTTCAGGTTTCGTTCTTTGTGATGACAAGTATGTTTTTGTTCTGTTTTCTTTGTTTTGTTTCTTTTTCATTTCCTCATATTGTATTCATCTCTATTTTATCTTCCATGTATTTCCCAAGCAAAACTCACCCAGGGCCAAGGACAAAACATATTTTAGAGGACAGAAGAGGAAGTAAATTAATGGAGAGGTACTTACTGTTTGAACAATGAATAGGACTGTCCCACAGAGACGAATTAATCGATTAAATCGAAGTTCCAAATACTGTTGCAAAAAAAAATAAATAAAACCGAAAAACAGTGATGTAAATGTTCTAAACACATTAAAAATCAGCTCTAGAAATAAAGCATAAGATATTTAAAGAAATGTCATAACTTATTTGCATTCTGTGTTTGTTTTAGTTATTTGTTACAAATAACAATATTGATGCTTTATATTACAATTCCATGATGTTTAATATACATAAGATTTATGTAATTCTGTTACATAATCAGTGCATGAAAACTCCCTCGTGATGCCCCTATCAGTAACCAATCTTTTCTTCAACTCCCTCCCCAGTTTGGTCTGGAAAAATTGGAAAATTGATCACATAAATGGAATTATAGTCTAGCTTTTTTTCTTTAAATAATATGCAAACTATTGTTTCTTCCCTCTTCTTCATGACCACTCTACATTCCCTTTGATTCGATTGAGAATTCAACCTTTTTCTATTTCTAAGTGGAAATCTGCATCAGCTGCCCTGCCTTTTCTGAGCAGGAGAAAGTCACGTGACCCCTATACACCCAATCACTTTCTCTCCACATTGGTAGCTGCTAAACTGGGTAGGGATTGGATTGACACTAACTGATTATAACCTTAAGAACTAAAGAATCTGTTGAAGCTTTGTCATTTCCAGGAGCTTTTTACTCAACCTCCCATACTGTTGTGTGAACTACCTTCAAGTTCCTTCCTCGGCAATTGTGTGTGTGTGTGTAAATGTGTGATGTGTGTATGTGTGTCTAAATGTGTGTATATGTACATATATATATATGTATGTGTGTAAGTTTGTGTGTGTCCAAGTTTGTGTATATATGTTTAAGTGTGTGTGTGTGTGTGTGTGTGTGTGTGTGTGTGTGTGTGTAACATAAGTCACCCAGGTTAAATTTTCTGTTGTTGCTTTGTTTTGTTTTATTCTGTCTCTGAGACAAGGTCTTGCTGTGTAGACCAGGCTGGTCTTCTTTTGCTCCTCCTGCCCTTTACATGTGAATTACATGATATGCCACAATTTGTGGCTAGCTGTGTCAGTTTTGGCTTGGCTTTGCTTTTGCTCTTAAAATGGAGTTTCACTGTGTCATCCAGATTGGCCTCAAATTTCCCATCCTTCTGCTTCAGTCTTTGAGTGTCAAGTCAGCTTCTGTATAGAGCCAAGATCTTGCCATTTTTTCTAACTCTCCCTGAAATCTGCATTAGCTTTTAATATGTTCTGTTTATTTCCTGTGTTGTATAATATATAATAATATATTACAGAGTTAGAATCAGAATTTCAGAGTTGAAGTCCAAGATACTGTTTAACTTGAATATTACTAGTACATGTAAAAAGAAGCCACAGCCTAGCAGTCTTGCTGTATAAAAGAGGAGGAGACAGAGAAGCATGAGGAGGAGGAGATGTTGACATTAGCTAATCATTAAATGGAAAGACATATGGCTATTTTTGCTCCATAATCACAACTAACACATCTGGTGTACTTGCTGTGCACATTGTGAAGCAGGCACTGTGTTAGAGATGAAGACCAAGCTTGTAACCTAATTGTTGTAAGGAATGTAACACAAAATCTTAGAAACTTGGATACATGTAATCTGTGTATATAAGTAAATAATCTAACAATGAGTTTGAGATGCAATAGGTATGTGGAGCCACAGACAATAAGACTTTCAAAAACAACTGAAGGATGACAAATGCCCAACACAGTGCAAGGCATTTGCAGCAGAGTCTCAGCTCTTGACTAGTCCCATGCCTGACTAATGAACAATGAGCAATGTTCTCTCTCTCTCTCTCTCTCTCTCTCTCTCTCTCTCACTCACTCTCTCGGCTTCCTTGTGTTTAAAATGAGGGTCAATCAAGCAATTTTTCCCTTTTATTTTGCAAGGGAAAGTATCCATGGCCGGGCGTTGGTGGCACACGCCTTTAATCCCAGCACTCGGGAGGCAGAGGCAGGTGGATCTCTGTGAGTTCGAGGCCAGCCTGGTCTCCAGAGTGAGTGCCAGGA